CAAGAGATTTGATCCTTGGAAAGAGATTGATTCTTTCCAAGAATAAGATAGCTAGCCGTTGTTTTTCCTTGATTTCCTTCCTTCAACAGATGTATGTAATGAAGACTTGCTCCTTGATTGTTGGTTCTTCCAAAATTAGTCGCGTACCANTAGTCGCGTACCGATCTTTACAGAATCTTCGATCTTCCGGAATGCTGCCCTTGATTCGTGCCTTAAGTTTAGGCTTGCTTGATTCTCTCCATCGCAGCTGGTCGATACTCTTTGCTGATTGATTGGCTGATTGGATTCTTTCTAGATTTGCGAGTCCTTTCCTTAGGCGTCCAGATTTGCTGATTGTATTATAATCTTTGCTGATTGATTTCTTTCCTTAGTCATCAGGATTGACTCCAGTAGTCTTGTAGTATCTTCTTGATTCCTTATAATTGATTTCCTGCATATGTATATTATTTGCATCATTAAAACTGGATCTAACACTTCTCTCCCCCCTTTTTTCCCCCTCTCTCTTTCTTGTTCTTCTCTCTTTTTCTCTTTCTGCTTCTTGTTCTTACTCTTTTTCTTCTTTTTCTCCTTCCTACCTTTCTAAGGCAAAGGTCTATTAGAAACAACCTCTCTACCGGGTATATGGGATTATACCGGATATGTTTTTTGTTGTTGTTATTGTTGAGTGTTCTTTCGATCCAACATTGCAATTTGTCACAGAACAACTCACTTGTTCAAAAATTTGAAAAACTTAGTCTAGTTAGAGCTTCCAAGTTTTAAAGGATGGATTATGAAAGTAACTTGGAGTTTTAATGAAAATGAATTTTTAGTGTCTCCAACTAGAACCACTGGTATTAATTAGAATGGCCAGCTAATTCAATTTGGTCAATGCCTAAGTTAATAGGGATCTCTAACTAAGATGGCAGAGAAAAGGTGTTGGAAAACATCAGGTGAACTTTGGAATTCCATACCCTTAGCAATCTGGTGGTCAATCTAGAGAGAGAGAGAAATGCGAAAAAATTTTAAACAAAAAAGAATTTGTGATAACTATTAGTTACAGATGTATCGCTTTGTTAATATGCTAACACAAAGGATTTAGAGGCCTTGCTAAATATTTTGAGCTCATTACACAACTTGGAAAGGCCTTCTGTATTTCGGGCGTGCCATTAAAGGGCATTAATTACATAGTTTTTGGTGCAATATGAACTTGAACATTAGTGTGTAATCTGATTATGGCATAGCACAAACATGCTTTTTGGTGTATAAAGTAGTTTATACTTATGATTTTTAATTGTTGATTTCATTAAAATATATTGCTTTAACTAATATTGCATAATGGTGACATCATAGAATTTTATTCAGTCTTTTTCTGAATGATAGGAGAAAATGATGGAGTATAATTAGACTAATGTAAACTCTAGCAGTTGGAAAAGGTAGGAAGAAAATATAAAGCTCCATTCTAGCTGTCATATGGTGGGTCATTTGGAAAGAAGAAATTTGAGATGTTCTGAAAGCAAAAGAGAGAACATATACAAGCTGAAGTACAATACTGTATTCATCTTAAATAGCTCAAATGACATAGGCAATCAAGCATCAATCCTGAGCCGATGTTCTAATTCCACCTAGTGGCGACTATTGACAATCTGGAGCTTGATCTTTTTGAGTGCTGAAAGAGCATCTTCCATATTGATTCTTGCATCAGGTATCACTACAGTGCAGCTCAAAGCTAATTCCACGATAGATAACATACACTGCATCTTTGTGTTGGGTTTTTCATCCCCTGGCTGCACTAAATTAGCATCCACCACCTTATGTATTCCACTTGGAAAAGAATCACTAACCCACTGTCGTATACTCAAGTCTCCAGTAAACATTTCATCACTTGGTCGCATTCTTGTAAACGTCTCCATCATCAGGATGCCAAAACTATAAACATCGCAGCTCGTGGATACTATTCCATCTTGGCCATACTCTGCAATTTAAGTAAAAGATAATTAGAAAATCTTCCTAGCTATCTTGGAATATTCTAAAGTTGTGGTTACCAATCTATATCCAAGAGAAAGAACTAATGTTTTGGGTACTCTAAGGATATGAGGAAGCTTTAAAAGTTATAATACCTGGAGTAATGTATCCAATGGTTGCAATTGTCCTAGTTTGAACAAAAGCGTCTCCTGCACCTAACAATTTTGCAATGCCAAAATCGCTGACATGGCCAACCATTTCTTGATCTAGCAAGACATAGCTTGGCTTCAAGTCACAATGCACAACTGGTGTTGAATAGCCACTGTGGAGATAGTCCATTGCAGATGCAACATCTATCATTATATATATTCTCTGCAACATGTCTAAGAATAAGTTATAACTGTATAACCATTTTTCAAGTGTCCCATCCGGCATGTATTCCAATACTAATGCTCTGAAATCAAGGTAGGAGCAACTAGTGATGACTTTAGTAAGATTTCGATGGCGGAGGTTCCTTAGCATCTCACGTTCGGTGTCAAAACTTTTGAATGCACCCTCTAATTGCACATTGAATACCTTTGCTGCAAAAAGAGTACCATCCTTAAGCATCCCTTTATAGACCATGCTGAAACTTCCACTACCAAGCAAGTTGCTTTTACTGAATCCTTCTGTTGCTTGTTCAAGTTCATAATAGGAAATCCTTTCATGCCCTTTTACCAGAGACAGACCTGCTTGACCTGCATTCTTTTTTTTCTTTCGCAATCTTAAAAAAACATATGCAAGGGCTAATGCAAGAAATAGCAGGCCCACTCCCAAAAGGACATACAAAGCCGAGATTGCTTTTTTCCTCTTTGACCTCTTAGTAGATTTGACGACACATGGTGACACATGAAACTTAGAATCGCCACAAAGAGCATCATTGAACAAGAAAGATTGACATGTGGTATTTGCAAAAGGACCTCCAGTGGGAATCTCTCCACTGAGTTTATTGAATGAGATGTCAGATATTTGAGATTTATAAGAGCTTCTAGTGACTTTGGAATCTCACCACTAAGATTGTTAAAAGACAAATCCAAGACTTCCAAGGCCAACATTTTGCCAAATGAATCAGGAATAGGCCCGTTTAATATATTATGTGCTAGAGAAAGTTTAATCAATTTATCAAGACCCCCTAAAGTGTTAGAAATCTTACCAGAAAAATTATTGTTTGATAGATCAATGAGTGTTGCAGCCTTTAAATTTTCAATCTCTAGAGGAATATGCCCACTTAATAGATTGGATGAAACATTGAACTCCATCAAATCTTTAAGGCTCCCCAAGCTTGTAGGTAATCTTGAATTAAGCCTGTTGTAAGCTAAATAAAGATTCCTCAAACTGGTAACGTTCCCTAAGCATGGTGGCACTGAACCAGAAAAATGATTTCCTGACAAATCTAATGCACCAAGACTCTTTAAATTGCAGATAACATTTGGTATGGTTCCTTCTATCTTGTTTCCATATAGGTAAAGTTCTTGAAGTATCAACATGTCTTGGACAGTTTTAGGAATATGTCCAGCCAACTCATTGTTTTGCGGACTCATCCTTGTCATTCCAGTAAGATTACCAATTTCTTCAGGAATGACGCCCTTCAGTTTACAACCCTGTCCTTCAAAAATTTGCATAGCAGAAAAATTTCCAACTGATGCAGGAAAAACACCATCCAACGGATTCTCAGCAAAACTGAGGACCCTTAATTTCCTACAGTTTGTCAAAGATGTCAGGAAGCTCATTGCTGAATCACTGGAAAAATCGTTCCACTGCAAGTTCAGCATCTCAAGGTATTCTAAGTTACCGAGGGACTCAGGAATTGGACCTGTGAACCTATTGTCTCCGAGATCAAGCCCTCTGAGTCTTGAAGAATTTGAGATAGAAGCAGGGATAAAACCACTCATCTGATTATATGCACAATTAATTTTTTCTATGCTGGGCATTCCACGGCCTAAATCTGATGGTAGAGTACCTGAAAGCCTGTTTTGTTCAAGTGCTAGGTTCTGCAGTGCTGACATGTTGAAAATGCTTGCAGGGATAGAACCAGTAAACTCATTCTGGTATAATGACAGTGTTTGTAGTTTCTTAAGATTACCTAGCTCCACAGGTATCTCTCCTGTCAAGTGGGGAAATATATCAATACCTATTTGGTGGAAGAGAAAAAAAATTAGCAAATTTCAGATTTCTTGTAAGGAAATATCATACTACCTCCCAAGTGTTGTACTCCAAGATATAATTCTGTAAGATCTGTCAAGTTGGCTAACTCTCTTGGTACAGTTCCAATGAACTTATTTTTGGACAATATCAAGCTTTCTGCATTTTTCTAAGTTTGGTGGAATAACGCCATCTAGGTAGTTGTTTGAGATGGCAAGCACTTCCAAGTCTGGAAGATGGTCGCATATAGTTGTTGGAAGCTTACCAGTAAGATTGTTGCTGGTAAGAATAATCTTTTCCATTGTCGTAATGTTAAAGATTGATGGTGGTATAGAGCCAGTAAGCTGGTTCTCTTGCAGGTATAATGAAGTCAGGTAACGAAGAGCACCGAGTTCTTGAGGGATCTCTCCTGTCAAGTGGGGAAATATACGAGTACATTCAGCAGCGAGAGAGTAAAAAGGAAGAAGATTTCTGATTTCTCGTAAGGAAATATCATACTACCTTCCAAGTGCTGTCCTCCAAGAGCTAATCCTGTAAGAGATGTTAAGTTGCCTAACTCTCTCGGTACAGTTCCAGTGAAGTCATTATTAGACAATGACAAGATTTGAAGCTTTATGCATTTTTCTAGGTTTGGTGGAATAATGCCATCTAGGATGTTTTCTGAGATGTAAAGCCCTTCCAAGTTTGGAAGATGATCACATATAGTTGTTGGAAACTTACCAGTAAGATTGTTTTTGGAAAGAGCAATGGTTTGCATTGTTGTAATGTTAAAGATTGATGGTGGTATAGGGCCTCTAAGCTTGTTATCTTGCAGATCTAGGATAGTCATATAACAAATATCGCCAAGTTCTCGAGGGATCTCTCCTTCGAGATAATTTCCAGACATACTCAACTCTTTCAGCTGTGTTAGATTGGAACGGGAAGATGGGATTCCTCCGAAAAACTGGTTTCCGAATAGGTAAACAAAGCGAAGGTTTGATAACAAACTTAAAAATGATGGAATAGCACCAGTGAAGTTATTTTTTGAGCAACGAAACATTTTCAACCTCTGCAAATGAGCCAATTCTTCTGGAAACTCCCCATGGAAATTGTTGTTGCTGATGATGAGGGAAGTGAGAAATGAAAGGTTTCCAAGGTGTGGAGGAATAGTACCATGAAATTGCATGCTAGAAATGTCCAAAGCTGCGATTCTATGGTGGCGAGAGTTGCAAGTGATTCCAATCCAGCTGCATACTGGGCTGGAAGAAGACCAGTTAGTTGCTAAGATGTTGTTAGGATCAACAGAAATGTGAGATTTCAAGGCAAGAAGGGCTGCTTCATCAGTGCTGATACTGGGAAACTTAGCCAGTGAAGTATGGTGATGAAGCAGTAGGAAAACTGCTAGAGCAAAGAGAAGATTGCAACTTGTTAGCATAAGCATAAGAAGGAGGTTTCTCCTTTTTCTAAAACAAGAATGAACAATGCAAAATCTTGGATGATCTATTTAATGATATCAAATTCACTGGATACTAACATACTGCTGGTAGTCTTTGGAGTGACAATATCAGAGTGGAAGTCAGTCAACCGCTGATGGGATATTTTTGACTGGTTGTGAGTTGTGGCTGTTGAATTATATGTCAAATTTCCATCCCAAATCGGTGGGTTAAGGAGTTGGTGGAAAACTATTNTTTGGTATAGTAGTTGTGACTTATTCACACTATATACATTTGGCTTCCACAACAATTGGTATCATAGCCAAGATACTGTCTAAGTATGCTCTATGGTTGCAGCATAGTCTGATCTTCCACATCAGAAAAGATTTAT